CTGGAGAGTTTTTTTTTTGTTTTTTAAATGAAGCCTTTGATATGAAATCTTGTCAAAGGCATTTTGAAGATTTTAAAACTCCACTGGTTCCCTCTTTAGTAATGTAATTATTCACCATCTCCTAGAATTCTAGAGGGGTAATGCAGCACTTACCTTACAAAAAACTGTTACCTTTCCCTCAACAGGTTATCTTAAGTAATCACTGATTTCTATTACAAAAAATTACAGGTTCTAGTAGCTGGCCCAATATGAAAGTGAGATCCATGAATGTGAAGTTCCTAGGCTCCCCTGAAGCCTTCTCTCAGAAGAGGGGCACACTTCCTATCAGTTACTCCGGCACAGTGGTCATTTATACAATTTACAAAACCCAACTTCCACTAAAGTCCTTTTCTAAGGCCTCCCAGTGGTATGGAGGGGAGGGACCCTGGGCTCTCAAAGATTATGCCAATGAAATGCAAGTCCTGGCAGATCCTACAAAGCTGGAGGGACTGAAGTCTGGGTACCACAAGAGACATCCACCTCTAGCCTAGGGATCATCTTAGCTAATCACCAGAAGGTAGCTACTCACTTACTTCAGCCACAGCAATCTGGGAAGAGTTTACAAAGCCAGAGAGAGATTCTGAAGCACACTGGTGGAAGAAGTATCCACAACAATGAAATGATAACTCCCTGAAGTATGAGTTCCTTCAAAACTCTTAGATGGAAGCCAGTCTATCCTGGTGTTTTATTTACATCTAATTGATTTATCATGTCTAAAACATGCTGTTTGTTCACTATTGTTTCTCCACTCTAATGGATTTACCTCAAAGCACAATTTGGAAATGTGACCCTTCAGCGACAGCAGCAGCAGTAACAACAAAAATTAAAATCAGTTTTTTATTATATTATTTTAATTTTTAATTTTTATTTATTATTATTTAACTATATAAATATAGTTCTTTAAGCTTTATAAACACTTTCTATTACCCTACCTGATCCTTGTTAACAGTCCTGGGAGATAGGTAATGTTACTATCCCCATTTTACAGATGAAGAAAATGAGGCAGACAGGGTTTAAGTGATTTGCCCAGGGTCACACAGTTAGGGAGTGTCTGGGGCTGGATCTAAACTCCTGCCTTCCTGATTTCAAGTTCAACCGTCTACCCATTAATCTACCTAGGTGACTAAAGACTGAGGAAAAGACACTGATTTTGTCTCTGACTTTTTCATCACCTACAAAACATCTTGCATAAGTCACCTCTGGTTCTCTAATTGTATTTCCACCTTTGCTTTCCCTAAGAATATCTTATGTGCTGATTCAGAGGAACCCTAGCAAAGCATTCTTCATATCTGCTTTTTGCCCACCTCATTTCAGGCTCAGCCCCGACCAGCTGCCCTGGAGGCTAAAAAGGGAAATGGCACCAGAAGGGAACAGGTCTCTTGGGGTCAAATGAAAACCCAGAGTCTTGCTGGATAAGCATATTTGGGACATTTCATCCCTGCCAGCCTCGCCTTCCTCATCTGTAAATTAGGATCAATAATATCTGTACTACCTGCCTTATAGGATTATTGCAAGGAAAGCACTTTGTAAACCCTGGACACCACAGAAATGTGGGGTCTGTTATTTCCTGCTCTCACTCTCTCAGTACTTCTCCCAACAGTCTCTTTTACTATAAATAAAATTTTCTTTTTTCTTTTTTTTTTTTTTGGCTAGGCAATGGGATTAAGTGACTTGCCCAGGGTCACACAGCTAGCAAGTGTTATGTGTCTGAGGCCGGATTTGAACTCAGGTCCTAATGAATCCCGGGCCGGTGCTGTATCCACTGTGCCACCTAGCTGCCCCTATAACTAAAATTTTCCAAAATATTCATGTCTATCTTTTCCTAACCTTTGTTTTCTCATTGTTTAGGAAAAAACTGAAAAGTATGCTATGAATTATGGAAAATAGCAATGTACACCTCCAAGGTTTCATTACTAATACCTACATACTACAAAAAAATACTACTTTTCAAAATATTTGTGCAACAGCCTTATGTAGTTGTTCTTTTCCCCTCTCCCACAATAAAACTGAACTCCCATTATGAAAGCTAGTTCATGGTGACATGGTGCACCCACTTCTTCTATTAGTAAAGAAAATGCTGGCCTTGAAGTCAGGACATCTGGGGTCAAATCCCCATTTCAAATACGATCCATTTTACAGTGGGCAAGGTTGGATTCAATGGCCTCTAGGCTTTTTTCCATCTGTAAATCTAAGACCCTCCTCTCAATTAAGGCCATTCTATTTCCTTTCTAACCAACAGACACCACAGTCTGAAGCACTGACAGAGGAGTGCATCCAAGTTACTCAGGGTACTGGCAGCCAAGCCACATGAGAACAACTGAAGGAACTACAGCTATTGAGGCTGAAGAAGAGAAGTGACAGGAAGCATGCCAGGCGTCTTGATGCGTCTGAAGGACTGTCATGTCAAAGCGAGAATCTGTCTCAGAGGGCAAGAATTCAGAACAATGGGAATCTGCTGAGAGGCAAATTTCAGCCTGATATAAGGGAAAATATCCTAACTGTCCAAAAGCATAACAGACTGCTCCTGGAGGTAGTAAGTACCACATTACTGGATGTTTTCTAGCATACACTGAATGTTCACCACTAGTCTGGAATGTTGCAAAGGCTATTCCCGCTCAGATATAAATTGGACTAAATGACCTCTGAAGTCCTTCCTAGTTCTGAGATTAAGGACCATGGGCTGTTTATTTAGCCGCTCTCTCTACCCAGCCCTTCTGCCTCACTCAATATTTAGCAGGCCTTCTCCCCAAGGGCCAGCAAAACTCTATCGCATCACCTTGGAAGGTTTCAGGAGAAAGGGGCTGGGGGGAAGGGAGAGAAGGCTCCTCAAGGAAAAGGGAGCATGAGAAGTTTCACAATGGGACCTCAGAAGAAAGAATAAAAAATTCCTACCCTTATAAAGCTACATGGTGTTTCTTCATGGGTCATCTGCAAAATTATACCTATAGAGTAAAGCTTATATAGACTTCCATTTAGAACTCAAAGACTTACGTCATATAGCATCACCCAAGCCTTCCCTGCCAAACATTTATGTATTCTATATTCACTTAATAAATCATGACTAAAGTGTATGAATCACTTAGGATTCCAGAAGACTCATATCCTAACACACGCGAACAGTTTATTTACATATTTAAGACAAAACATCGTTCCCAGGAGAATCACTAACGGACTGGGCCAAAAACAGAAGAGGGCAGAGAAAAGAACATGGAACACTTGACTCCACTTCTTCTAGCAGCTTCACCTCGTTTGTCAATTTCATTTCCTAAGTATGGATAATAAGAATAATAATTAAATCTCACTCTTCCTAACAATATTCTTTGTACAACCCATGGTTTGCTTAAGAGATACCAAGAGTAGTCTTACTTGCTAGCAATCAGAAAGTCAATCAACTGTGATCCAAAAGTTTTTATTAAGCACTTACAACATACCTAGCACTGTGCTAGGGAAAACAGGTACACATCTCTTGATACTTTGTCTTATGTGATTCCACAAAAAATCGACCAATTCTTTATTTCAAAATCAAAGCTTGCTCCCTCCCTCACCAAGAGATTAAAGATTTAAATATTTATCCAAAAGAGTAACACAGATATATCTCCCCTGAAGAAAAACAATATCATTTGTATATAGAATCATCCAAGTGGATATCCAAAGATTCATTAGCCTTAACTATAATAATTTCATTCAAAATCTGTTAAACACACACAATGACGTCTTTCCCGCAAGGTATGCTGCAGCACTGAAGTTCTAAAAATGAAGAACATAGCTATGACTCTTACAAAAATACCAGATACCACATCACACCTATCAGATTGGCTAACATGACAAACTAGGAAAATGATAAATATTGGAGAAGATGTGGGAAAACTGGAACACTAATGCATTGCTGGTGGAGTTATACACTGATCCAACCATTCTGAAGAGCAATTTGGAACTGTGCCCACAGGGGTATAAAAATGTGCATGCCCTCTGACCCAGCAATAGCACTTCCAGGTCTGTATCCCAAAGAGATCATACAAATGGGAAAAGGACCCACATGTCCAAAAATATTTATAGCAGCTCTTTTTGTGGTGCAAAGAATTAGAAATTGAGGGGATGACCATCAATTGGGGAATGGCTGAACAAGCTGTGCTGTATGAATGTAATGGAATACTATCATGTTATAAAAAATGATGAGCAGGCAGACTTCAGAAAAATCTGGAAAGATTTATATGAACTGATGCAAAGTGAAATGAGCAGAAACAGGAGAACACTGAACACAGTAACAGTCACACTATGAGATGACTGACTTTGATAGACTTAGCTCTTCTCAGCAATGCAAGGATCTAAGCAAATCCAAAAGACTCACGATGGAAAATGCTTTCCACATCCAGAGAAAGAACTGTGGAGTCTGAATGCAGATGGAAGCAGACTATTTGCTCTCCTTTTTTTTTGGTTGTTTTGTTTTATTTCTTCTTTGTCATGGTTCTTCCCATTAGTTCTAATTCTTCTTTACATCATGACTAATGTGAAAATATGTTTAATATGAATGTATAAGTAGAGCCTATATCAGACTGCACCCTGTCTTGGGGAGGAAGGAAGAGAGAGAGGGGAAGAAAAATTAAAATTCAAAATTCAAAATCTTATGGAAGTGAATGTTGAAAATGAAAAATATGCTCTTTATCTTTGGTCAATGTTTATGATGGGAGACGTTTAAAATTTTAAACAATAGAACCTTAAACTCTTCAGAAGACAAGCACTGGGGGAGCCCCAGGAGCAAATGGAGCATATCACTGGAGCAAAGGACAAGAAGAGAAACTCAGACGTGTTCTCTTTTCACTCTCAACAAAAATGACAAATTCTCCTTTGATATGCTCCTGACTATAAACACAACCTACAATCTAAGGAGCCCTCTGGGACGACGCTACACTAAATTCTAGGAAAGGAAGCACTAACCTCTCATTTTTTGGTTAAAGACTTACTATGTGAGAACCGCTGAGTGATCGGGGTTCCAGGGTAGGGATAAGTTCGACTCTCCCACTGAATGTTTCCTTCCTGGACAGCCTTAATAAAGCCATGATAACACTGGTGGGCCACACCTGTAGAAAAATGAAGGGAAACATGTCAGTGAATGTATAACATGACTTAGAAATCAAAGATCATCATGAATAACAGAATTTTAGAGTGACTAAGACTAACGATCATTTAGCTGAACTTCCTCTTTTCTACAGGTAAGAATCTGGGCCCAGAAAGCTTGAACGATTTCCCAATCTCAAAGTTAATTAATGAGAGATGGGACTAAGTCCACAACGCCCTAACCCTCTTTATCATTAAGGCTGAGGAGTGGCAGCTTAGTGAGGGGAACACACTCACACTCTACCTTTTTAGGCAGTCTACATTTTCCATCTCTACTAAGGACAAATCTGGAGAAAATGTGTTTAAATCAGATTTGTTAGATGTGAGAATGTAAACCCTAGACTTTAAGACACCAGATTCCAAAATGTTCAGTGCAAAGTAGGATCCTGAGTCTGAGAATCTAGAAGCGAAGACAGCTCAAGAGGGAAGGATTTCAAAAACAAAAGCGTGACATTCACGACACAGGTTAGGGACTGGGACCTCTCAGGGCCTTTCCAACTCTGAAATTCTATAACTCTGTGTATACAAGAAGGGGACCAAGTCAAAAACTGTGACACCCCCCTAGACTCAAAAGGAGCTGGATCTTTAGTAGTTAGATCATATAACTGTTAAGATGATGAGAGTCTCAAAACAATTTTCCCACTTCAAAGAGGGTAGAAAAACAGCTGCCATCAATGCCAGGATTTCAAAGTTTCATATTATTCTGAGAGGCTGAGAGTTCGACAGTGTGACAACTGAAGGCGCTGCAGCCCTAAAGTATAGTTACAGCCCCTCTCTACCAAAACGACATGGCTGCCAAACGTGACACACAGTTGAGTCCACACATTTCCATCTCATCTCTCTCACTATTTCCCATGTTTTTCTCCCGTGTGCCAAACCCATACCCTCGCAGCACAGACAGAAGTAGGTAGGCCAGGCCAGTTTCACTCTAGGCCCACTTGGGAAGCTTCAACACAGACCTTGGCTGTCCAGTGTGACAGAATTCTTGTGAGCCCTGACTTACAAAATATTCCAATCACAAGATCATAAGATTTAGAGCTAAAAGAAAACTTGGAGACCATCTAGTACCTGCTCCTTATAGTACAGATGAGGAAAATGAAGCCCAGAAAAATTCATATAGATGTCGTATCAATTAGAGCTAAAATTCAAACTCAATCCCAGTTATCAAGTGGAGATTTAACTCCAAATCTAATTTTCTTTCCATTACATCATAATGCATCTAAACAATATCTACTTACTGAAACCAGATCAAGATTCTTAAAGACCACAGTTCTGCAGGTAATTTTTCTACGTTTCTCACTGACCTAAGGAATACACCTTAGGACTGTCTGATACCCCTTTAAAAGTATTCCCCGTAACAATTTTAGCTGTCATGTTCACATCTGAAAGGAGTGCTTTGATAGATGATGCTGACTTGATTTCAATGTTAATTCATCTGATCTATACTCAGTATCCTGACTTGACAGGTCAAGATGGAACAAAAGGAGCCCAGTAATTGCTAACTATTAAACAATGATACAAAAAAAGTTAGCCAGTGGAAAACTGGGAGGGAGGCAGGAAGGGGGCATAAAAAGAACAACAATCATTTATAACAATCATGACACAGAGACTAAGTGGCTTTTCTTCATGTCGATGAAATTATCTTTTACAGTGACAAGACAGTTGAGAACAGAATCTAAGTTTGATGGGACAATGTGAAATTTATCCCCAACTTTTATTATTGAAGAACTGTGCAATTTACCGGATCGAGTCTCTTCCCCTTTCTGGGTCTGTTTTCTCATTTATAAAATAAAGCAACTGGTATTCAATGACCTCTCTTCCTGCTCCAAATCTATGAGCTTCTGATCTCTAGCACTACCCAGACAAATGCACTGAAGGAACTGTTCACAGGTCTGGCTGATTGACGGAAAGAAAGTGTCTGACTTTGCTTATCTTCTAATATAAACAAAGATGAACCTCAAGAGGCCAAATAAATTAAGAGTCAAGGACAGCAAGCACCTGAAGCAAAGTTCTGAAGCAAAAGACAGATTTCCAAAGGTCTAATGAGCGTGTTTTTGGTAGCACAGGCCCTACCTTTAATAAGTCGGTACCACTGTTTGCAGACAAGGGCTGAGGTTTTGTGCTCCTGATACGGTGAGAGAAAAGACAGGATATATTCCAGAACCTCTTCAGGCAGCTCAGACATAGACCTGTTATGTCTTGTCTCCTCAATCTCCAGTTCAGGGCGGGGTTCCTCATCTTGCTCCATTGTCCCCTCCACTCCAGCTTCTTCTTGGTCCACGGCCATGAAGCTGTCATCCTCACTGTCCGAGGAACTGGCCATGGCATTCCCCTTGACGGCTGCAGAAGGAGAGAGAGAAAAATCATTCGAACACACAGATGTATTCTGGCATGGCTCTGATGTGGGGCACAGCCACAGCTTTGAAACCAGTTTTATTTAAAGAAAGTTTTATTTACGTCTTTACCCACCTGGCTTATAGGCAGCTTCAGTCTGCCATATGCAACTGGAATTTGAAATCTATGCTAGGAATCAAAGAGTCACTGATGACTCCTGAATGGATTTTTCTCTACTAAAAATCAGCCAATTTGGGTCAAATTTGGGCCTGACACAGTTCTCCAGTAACACTTCTAAGGAAAGGACTTAAGAAGATGGCAGCAAAAGAATCATCCTCCACCTTTCCTTGGCTAGAGGCAACAATCCAGAGTCTTAAACTGAGAAAGATCAATAGGTATCCCACGTACACAGTACCTTCAGCCTCTGTGGGGAGAGGAGATGAAGATGACAGCCAGCATTCTGCTTTCTGCCACACTTCCTCACATTACACAAACACACTAAATGTGCCAGAATGTGCTACTGCCTCTAATACAAGTGGAACATGTCAACTACAAAATATTCCAATCACAAGATCGTAAGATCTAGAGCTAGAAAAAACTTGGAGACCATCTAGTACCTGTTGGGAAGCCCAGAAAAATTTAAACAGGTATCACATCAATTACAGAGCTAAAATTCAAACCCAATCTCAATTATCAAGGGGAGATTTAATTCCAAATCTAATTCTCTTTCCATTACATCATACTGAACCTAAACAATATTTACTTACTGAAACCAGATCATGACTCTTGAAGACAACAGTACTTCAGGTAATTTTTCTACATTGCTCACAGGCTCTTGTAATGTACAAAGTGCATGTAACTACAGGAAAGATCACGGACAAGACCTACATGGTCCCTTTAAGAATGCTGGCTGCTTATCTACTTTTCCCAGTTTCATAACTCCCAACTACTGTACCAAACGAGGAAATCTTTCTTCCTTGAGTTTGAAGATATGATACTAATACTATTCAACTTTATTTTCTAAGAACATGGGTGTAAGAATGCATCTGTAGCTGAATTAAATGCAGCATCTATTTGACTAACTGTGGACCCTGTTACTGTATCTAGATTTCAAAGGCATTACACAGCTACAAGGATCACGATGTACGCAAGGTAGATACATACAGGAATGAAATCCCCAATCAATGTGTACATCCTGTCTGAAAACCTGCTCCTAGTCAAAGGAAACCCTTTAAAATGCTCTTCTAATGTGTTTAATATGATTGCACATGTATGACCTATATCGGATTGTATGACATTGGGGGGGAAGAAGGGGAAGAAAATTTAAAACTCAAAATCTTGCAAAAATGAATGTTGAAAACTAAAAATAAATAAAATGCCCTTCCAACACAAGAGAATGGAGGTTTTTCATTTGCAATTTCTGAAACAATGTGATAGGCTACACCAATCACAGGATATAAAGTCAAAGGCTCTATATTTGAAACTTTGATTCTGCTATTTACATGGGTGACCTTAAGCAAGTCAGTTCCTTAATCTGGTTCTCAGTTTCCTGATCTGTAAAATGATGGGATTTGGAATAGAAGTAATTGCGAAGGCCTCATTCAGGTCTAGATCCCATGATTTACCACTTGTCATGTTTTAATACAGGTCCTAAGTCACTATGCTACATGAATGATCCATATAAGGTCAATGATTTGTAACAAAAAAGTTCTCTGAGATGTTCACCTTATTGCTACCCTGAATACCAAAGGATGGTAGAAAGGGCACAGAATCTGAAGTCAGAGAATTTGAGTTTGACTTCCGATGCTGCCACTCATTATCTGAAATTTGAAAAATGAAGCCTCACTTTTCTCATTTATTGAATGAGATAGTTGAAAGAGATGACGTCTCAGGTCCTTTCTAGCTCCAAATCCATGATTCCATGACCTTAAAGTTGTTTGGAATTTTACCATGTATCACTGGTGAACTTTAAAGAACTCAATCCTGTAAGACCTGGAGTTCTAAGTAAACCTCAAAGACACCAGTCACATCTCTAGAACAGGGGTTTTTAACCTTTTTTGTGTCATGGACTCTAGCAGTCTGCTGAAGCCTGTGGACCCCTTTTCAGAATAAAGTTTTTAAATACATAAAATAAAAAGGATTACAGCAGAAACCAATTTTCTTTTTAAAAAGTTCATGGGTCCCATAAAACCCCTGTTCTAAAAGGGCAATTGTTTCTCCATTTACATAAAAGTATTTAAGTAACAGCCACACACACAGTAAGAACACTGAGATGGGCCCAAATGCATTACTCTGAAATGATATGCTCACCACTGTTTTACAGAGTGCTCCATTTTGACTCCGTTGATTCAACCATGAAATTACCTCTCTTACTCCTAGAAGATACACAGACATTTTGATGCTTTGAATTATGAATTTCTTTTGTTTTCCTACAAATTGTACAAAAAGTAACTAATAAAAAATATAATTGCATCTTGGATCTTTAACTGATTAACCTGATGCATGTGATCTTGTGATTTTCATGCCGAGTTTACCAGTGTCCTTGTCTAGGCCTCTTGCCCTCTCCCTTCTGAGGCAAAGGGAAACAGACAAAGCCCTGGCCTAGAACCCCACATTCTGGGTTCAGCCTCTCCTGCCCCATGACCTCATACCAGGCAGCTGCACAACTTCACTTTCCCTCTGCAAAATAATTTCCTATCTATCTAATAAGGATTAGGCTACAAATTAAATACCTATCGTATTGAAGAGGTTTTGAATTCTTTGGAGGAGAATGGACAAATTCAAGGAATTATTAGATTTAAAGAAATTCAGAATGGGAATGGGTTCACTTCATTGTGAAAAGTAACAAGCTTCTGGTGGCCTCTAAGAATTGATCCAATAATTCTGGAAGCAATTCAAAATTATGACAAGAAAATGACAAAAATGTCTGTACTCTGTGACCTAGAGATCCTACTACACAGCATAAACCTCAGAGAAGTCAAAGATAGAAAAGTCTCTTATGCAACAATACATTTATGGCACTATTTGTTATAGTAGCAAAGAACTAGAAACAAAATAGCTGCCTATCTATTTGGGGAAATGGCAAAACAAATTCTGATAAATACATGTAATGGTACATTATTGTGTAGCAAGGTGTCACAGTAGTGTTGGGCTTGAAGTGAGGAAGACCTGGGTTCAGATCCAGTCTCAGACCCTTCCTACCTGTGTGACCCTAGGCATATCATCTCTCTCACCCTCAGTTTCCCCATATGTAAAATGGCGACAATAACAGCACTACTCTCTCAGGGTTGTTGTGAGGATCAAATGAGATAACCTAGGTACTACACTGCAAACTTTAAAGAAATATAGAAATGTGAGCAACTATCATTCTAAGTAAGGAACATGAAGACCACAAAGAAGCACAAAAACTACCTGAAATATGCAGAACCAAACATCAATATAAACCATAACAATCACGTAAAAATGAACACTTGTAATTATAATGACCAAGCTTAGCCCAGAAAAAGCACTAAGAAAATGGATGGGCTTCTCTTTCTTCTTTGCAGAGGGGGGAGCTTGTGGGTGTGGACTACAGCACGTACTGTCTAACTTGGCTAAACTGCTTTTTCATGCTTTGTTTTAAGGAATGACTCCTAGGGGAAGGGAATAGGAAGGAAGCGTAAGTGATGAAAACACAAAATATACTAATTTTTAAATATCAAAAAAAGTCAGTTTCTTCTATTGTTACCCACATCTTGCTAAACATGTGCTTTAAGCTCTTTTTTTTGGTGGCAAAGAATTGGAAATTGAGGGGATGCCCATCAATTGGGGAATGGCTGAACAAAGCTGTGGTATATGAATGTAATGGAATACTATTTATTGTGCTATAAGAAATGATGAGCAAGAAGACTTCAGAAAAACCTGGAAAGACTTGTATGGACTGAGGCTGAGTGAAGTGCGCAGAACCAGGAGCATGTTGTACACAGTTAACAGCCACATTGTGCAATGACCAACTCTGTTAGACTTAATTCTTCTGAGCAATGTAAAGATCTAAGACATCTCCAAAAGTCTCATGATGAAAAAATGCTATCCACATCCAGAGAAAGAACTATGGAGTTTGAATGCAGATCAAAGCATACTATTTGCTCTTTTTTTCCCTCTGTTTTGTTTTGTTTCCTCTTTCTTGTGGTTCCCCCATTGGTTTAATTCTTCTTTACAACATAACTAAAGTGAAAATATGTTCAATAGGAATGTATATGTAGAGCCTATATCAGACTGCACACCGTCTTGGAGAGAGGCAGAGAGGGAGGGGAAGAAAATGTAAAACTTAAAAGCTTATGGAAGTGAATCTTGAAAACTAAAGATAAATTAATTAATTTTTTAAAAAAAGAAAGAAAGAAATGGTGAGCAGGAAGATTTCAGAAAAACCTGGAAAGATTTGCATGGTCTGATGCTGAGTGAAGTTAGTAGAACCAGAACACTGTACACAGTAACAGCAACATTGTGCAATGACCCACTCTGACAGACTTAGGTCTTCTTAGCAATAAAATCTAAGAAAATTACGAAAGACTCATTATGGAAAATGCTATCTACATTCACAGAAAGAACTATGGAGTCTGAATGCGGATGGAAGCATACTATTTTCTTTTTTTTTCTTTCTCATGGTTTTCCCCTTTTATTCTGATTCTTCCTTCACAACATGACTGATGTGAAAATATGTCTATTAGGACTGTACACGTATAGCCTATATCAGACTACATGTGGTCTTGGGGAGGGGAGAGGGAAAGGAGGGAGAAACAAAATCTGGAATTCAAAATCTTATAAAAGTGAATGTTGAAAATTATCTTTACATGTAATTGGAAAAAGATAAAATACTACTAAGTGGAAAAAAATCTGCTTTGATACCTCTTCAAAAGATATAAAATTTGGAGTTCTAACAAGGAAAGCCATGAAGAAAGCTCATAAAAAAGTCTCTGAACTTTCTACTGCTATGAAGCTTACAACTGTGTCTTCCAAAGTAGGTGACT